TGACCAGGATGGTCTCGATCTCTTGACCTCGTGATCCACCCGCCTCGGCCTCCCATAGTGCTGGGATTACAGGCTTGAGCCACCGCGCCCGGCCTTCCTTTTTTTTTTTTTAAGATGGGGTTTCACCATGATGGCCAGGCTGGTCTTGAACTCCTGACCTCAGGTGATCCACCCACCTCAGCCTCCTGAAGTGCTAGGATTACAGGCGTGAGCCACCGCGCCTGGCCTCAGGTCCAAACTTTCTTAAGAGTGTTTACTGAATTGATTGGGTGGTGATTTTTTCCCTCAAGAATGAAAGTGAAGCTCATGGGTACATATATTTCTAGGGTTTTATTTCTAGCTTAAAGAAACTTTCAGGCCAGGTACAGCTCATGCTTGTAATCCCAGCACTTTGGGAGGCCAAGATGGGTGGATCATTTGAGGTCAGGAGTTCAAGACCAACTTGGCCAACATGGTAAAACCCTGTCTCTACTAAAAATACAAATATTAGCCAGGCATGGTGGCAGTCACCTGTAATCCCAGCTACTCGGGAGGCTGAGGCAGGAGAATTGCTTGAACCTGGGAGGTGAAGGTTGCAGTGAGCTGAGATCACACCGTATCACTCCAGCCTCGGTGACAAGATTGAAACTCTGTCTCAAAAAAAGAAACTTTCATGGTTTTTATTACACAAAAGTAATAAATATATTTAGTGTTACATTCTTACATGGAGTATACTATGCATATTTTTCCAAATACATAGGCAGCTCCTCAGACTTTGTGGAATTCCTAGAAGATGATAGCAAGTCCTTTGATGGCACTAGCTGATTCTTATCAGACTTTGATCCAAGATATTGGAGATATTGACAATTCAAGGATGGATAGGACACATTGTTTTCTCTTTTTCACCAAAGAGTTCGTAATCTAGTACAGATACACACACCCAAGGCAATGACAAGTGTGCGTAGAGCAAAGTGCTGTCTTGAAGGTGAGCCGAGAGAGCTATGGGAATCAACATGCCAGAGTAATTAATTCTGCCAAGTGGAAGAGAAAAAAGGAAAACTAGAGAAAGAAGGCAACCTTTTGGATGCCCTTGGAATGAGGATTTTGCCAGGAAGATGAGGGGCTGGAGGGCACTTGCGGCAGAAGAAATAGTTTGAACAAAGACAAGAGTGACAGCCACAATGCTTGGATGTGAGATAAACATACATCTGTGTTATTTTTTTCTAAACAAAATGAAAAATGGCTCAGAGTCCCCACCCACTTCTTGTTAGGAAATACAATGTGCCGTTTTTTGAGGGGTGGGAACACAAGGGGCTAAGGTAGAAGGTCTAAAAAGTTTGGGAATGGGGCTCTGGTCTTTGGGGCATCATGGTTGCCACTGAGATAGATGTTCACTGTTTCCTGGGCTCATAGGAAGGGTGTTCACAGTGCTTACTGTTCCCGGGTGCTCCTCTTCGAAGGATATACAGGTTTCCATAGAGGTTTGCAGATGTCCTTAGAGCTGGGCTGGAATCAAGTGGTTCTTTTTTTTTTTGAGACCGAGTTTCGCTCTGTCATATAGGCTAGAGTGCAGTGGCGTGATCTTGGCTCACCGCAAACTCTGCCTCCTGGATTCAAGCGATTCCCCTGCCTCAGCCTCTTGAGCACCTGGAATTAAAGGCATGTGTCACCACACCTGGCTAATTTTTGCATTTTTAGTAGAGATGGGGTTTCACTATGTTGGTCAGGCTGATCTTGAACTGGCCTCAGGTGATTCTCCCACCTTAGCCTCCCAAAGTGCTGGGATTACAGGCATGAGCCACTGCGCCCAGCCTGGGATCATGGGGTTCTGTACAAAAGTTTTACTTAATGCCTCTGCTTTGCTTTCAGTACCTGAGCTCTGCCCTAGACAGTGCCTACTGCATCTCAAGCTTGGTTCAGCGGCTCCAGAGAATAAACCTCTTGCCTCTTGTCAAGGTAGGGAGGGGTAGACCCTTGACTGCAGAGGGGAGAGTTGGGTCTGGAGTCCAAATGCTCTTTGTGTAGGCTTTCAGCAAAGCCTTCTCTTTTCAGCAACCCCCACTCTGCCACCATCTTCAGTATCTGCTGCTTCTAGCTCTTGAGCCTGAGGGCCAGCATGCTAGCTTCTAGTCCACCCTCTTAGGTTTCACTTCACGCCCTGGGCCAAACTAGTTACTGCTTCTCCCTGAGCATTGAGTCTTTGCATTTTACTGTTTGGGACTCACCGGGGAGGAAGTTTTTATT